TACACTGGAAATTGACACAATATTGTAAAATGACTGTAACTCAATAAATAAAAATAGTGGTTTTATTTTTCTAAACTAAAGAAACATATTCTCTCCAATAAACATCTAGCTTTTCAAAGTAAAATAATTTAGTAGACAAAAACATATCATGAACACAGAGCTTTCAAGATTTTTATGGACATTTATTTATAAATATATGCAAGCATTCTTTTTTCTGTATTTTTCTCCTTGTTGGCCAATTGCAAACTGATCACTTACAATTGTACTTGAGTGCTTAGTGACCAGAAAATTTACAAATGCTGCTGCTGCCAGAGAAACCGAAAGTGCACAGGCAGATTGAAGGAAATACTACAGGCAAAAATTAGGCATCATTAGTTACCCCTGCTAATATTGCAGAAAATTGGAATGCTTGCCTCACTGAGAATTGGAAAACATTCCTGAAGTTTGTTTACAACAACTTGAAAAGCCTTTGATGTATACACAGAAATAATGATTTTATGACATTGTGTTGTTACACTTTGTAACTATATTTTAAAATGTATTTGCACTCAGTAGATCTAAGATTTTTTTTAATTTCAAACTTTTCATTTGTATTTTATAACTACATATTTAAAATATTACATAAAGACAAAAGTTTTAAAACATACATGCTGGAATTTATTACTAGTTTTACTTCCACTAGTTCTTTACTAATACAATTGTCCTATTGATATTCTAGGCTGTCACAAAATTATGTCACATTTAAGATCTTTCTTCTGAACTTTTCCTTACTGAGCCATCAATAAACCATTAGGCAATCAGCATTTTCTTGGTAGACTAATTAAACTAGATATTACATTTTTAAGATTCAGGTGGAAAACATATTTATTGAACGTATATGTTTAATAGCGTAATTTTAGGTGTTATAAATAATATAGAAATAAGTTAGAGGCAGTGTATTATCTAGCAAGGGAGACATATATATAAATAACTAAAATACCTATCAGAATGTTCAAATATTCTGATGGAGGTAAATGCATGCCGACAGCATTAAGAGAACAATTATTTTCTGTTGCTTCATATGTAATCCTTTGTCTTTGTTTTATTTTTTGCCATGTGATGACCTCCCTCTGTTTCACACTATTTCTCCATGTTGAGAATGAACAAGAGAGAGAGAACAAGTATTGTGAGGCAAAATAACTGTCTTTAAAATATATACATGGTTGTGCATTTTGTTGTTTTTGTTTTGTGGGAGCCCACGGCTGATTCCTCTATACATTGCTTTTTTTCCCTCTCTTGTGCCCCTAATGGCTATATACTTCTCTTGATATTTTCAGTGTTTGTGCTTACAGATGACCTTACTGTCAATATCTCTGTCAAGTACATTTCCTCAACACCTGTTATAAAATGCTACAGGCTTCCATGCACATGTGATACCATATTGGAATGATCCAGTTCATTTGCTATAATGCAAATAGGTAGAGTCCATGTTGCCTAACATATTTAAGCACCATTATATTTTGATCAAGGGAGGCTTTTGGAAGACTTTGGATGGAATAACATAGAAAGATTCTTTCAGCATGCTTATTATTGAAACCAATCAACCAAAGAGATGCTACTGAGAAACATGCCCTTCTTGGTTAAAGATAATGCTGAGACATATGATAAAAGATGTGTAATTAAATTAGGGTTTTCACATAGTCATTGCACTGCTATCTATAAATATAGGTGGGTAGGCATATTATTTTGGAGAGTGTATGGATTTTTAGTTTACTCTAAATCTTTTCTGAAGTTTTTGATTCATAAATTTCTGTAAAGAAAT